TGTTCTGGATAAAACAGATGGGCCTGTCCTTGCCGCTGTTTGTCCACCAGGTTTATCTTATGCACAGTAACCCAGGTCATGTGGGGGGGGGGGTTGCAGTGATTTTTAGGCACTGTTATACATTGGTTCCACTCCTTCCTCCTGGATCGTGTCTAGAAAGTGGTGGGGGGGGATGAGTGTTCGGATGCCTGGGCTCTCACTTGTGGGGTGCCTCAGGGTTCTGTCCTCTCCCACATGCCTTTTAACATCTATATGAAGCCATTGGAAGGGATCATCAGGGTTTGGGCTGGGTGTTCATCAGTTTGCGGATGATACCAAACTCTACCTCTCTTTTAAGTCAGAACCAGTGCAGGCGATGAATGTCCTGTGTGAGTGTCTGGAGGCAGTTGGAGGATGGATGGCAGCTAAGAGATTGAAGGTGAATCCTGACAAGACAGAAGTACTGTTTTGGGAAAACATGGGGCGGGCAGGTGGGGCCACTCCCTGGTCCTGAATGGTGTAACTGTGCCGCTGAAGGACCAGGTTCACAGCCTGGGAGTCATTTTGGACTCACAGCTGTCCATGGAGGCGCAGGTCAATTCTGTGTCCAGGGCAGCTGTCTCCCAGCTCCATCTGGCACGGAGGCTGAGACCCTACCCGCCCGCAGACTGTCTTGCCAGAGTGGTGCATGCTCTAGTTATCTCCCACTTGGACTATTGCAATGCGCTCTATGTGGGGCTACCTCTGAAGGTGACCCAGATGTTGGGATGCTGCCGGGGAGATGGGGGCATTAGGCAGGCCCCCAGCTGGCTCCAGCCACTGGCCAGCAGCCGGGCGATCTCCAGTTCTCGGAACAGCATCAAACAGCGACACAAGCCTCAGATACCTTTAGAGACTTGGCACGCTCTATCAGCAGAGTGAATAAATCTTCTCACAATGGAAGTGGTGGACAGAGACATGTGTAAGCATTATTTACAGGCGTTTATTCAGCATAGTTCAGGAACAAAGGGAAAACATGTCTGCTTCCCTTTGTGTCCAGCAAACAGGAAGAAAACAAAAGCTACATACAAATGGAAGTTCCCAGCAGACTGTGCTGGATGTAAAAAGGCATGTGACACACAACAGTCATGCCTGTTCCCTTTTAAGGTGGAACGGAACTATATCCTAACACCGGAAACTGCAACCAATCCAGAATGCGGCAGTTAGATGGTGACTGGGAATGGCCACCAAGACCATATTACACCGGTCCAGAAAGACCTACATTGGTTCCCAGTATGTTTCCAAGCACAATTCAAAGTGTTGGTGCTGACTTTTAAAGCCCTAAACAGCCTCGGTCCTGTATACCTGAAGGAGCATCTCCATTCCCATCGTTCACTGACATCCAGCTCTGAGGGCCTTCTGGCATCTGAAGGCAGCCCTGTTTAGGGAAGTTTTTAATGTTTGATGTTTTATCGCTTTATTATTATTAATATTAATATTCTGTTGGGAGCTGCCCAGAGTGGCTGGGGAAACCCAGCCAGATGGGCAGGGTATAAATAATAAAATAATAATAAAATTATTATTATTAGCATTTGGCGTTTGTTTTTGTTCTGTTTTCTAACATAGGGAAGCATTCAGAACTGTAAGACACACCTGCAGTCGGAACACCACAGTTCTGCCTCCTCAGGGGCTCCACTACCTTATTTTACTGCATGTGAGGCCTAAGCTTGAAAGCTTTGCGTTTCAAACACTGAAGGTTCACTTACAGATAGGTAGCCGTGTTGGTCTGCCATAGTCAAAACAAAAAAAATTCCTTCCAGTAGCACCTTAAAGACCAACTAAGAGACCAACTTTACTTAGTTGGTCTTTAAGGTGCTACTGGAAGGAATTTTTTTTGTTTTGAAGGTTCACTGTGTGCTTTTGATCATCACAATCACTGTGATGAATGTGCACATGTGAAGCAGCCCAAGTTATGACTGAACAGATACAATTATGGTTCCAGGGCTATAACTGTGCTCTGCAGAGGTAATGCCAAGTTATAGAATAGTTTAGAGGCACCCAGAAAGTCCTTAGTTTCACCTCCAGTCTCTGGTTGGTTATTTGTATGTTAGTTGCTTTGTGTGTGTTTTTTCCTTCACTGCTCTCTTCCTGTGGTGGTGTTTGGGTTTTCTCTGTTTTGGGTTTCTTCATCTGAAAGTCATCTGTTTCTACAGGATCATGTATCCCTCCAAAGAAATGCATGCTTTCCTTAGATGGTTGTTTTCATAATGGTGATTTAAAATTAGATGCAAAGTGTGAATGCTGGCTAGGTTCAACTTCTTTCTCAGTCCACTGTGCAGCATGGTGAATTGAGCACAGTTGAGTGCTTCAGGCTGAACAACTTGGATGTGAAATGATTTCAAAAGTGCCAAGGGTTTTTAAAGAAACATTTTTAGAAAAGCTTATTCTGCCAGCATGTAGTGCACTGATTATTTTTTTATTAAAAAAAAGTTTTATTGATATTTTTCATAATACATTAAAGACAAACTAATCTAAACAAAAATAAAAACATAATAGAGATAGAGATGCAAAGTTCTCTCTCAAAGGTAGATCTTAACTCTTATTCCACACAGAAAAAGGTGAGCCCTCCCAGCTCTCACCTAGGAGCTTCCCTTTCTTCTCCCAGCCTTGTACCCTGGGAGATCTTTTCTTCCCTGCCTCTCACACAGGATTGGTCATCAACTACCCTATCCTACTGGTTTGGAAGGGGAGAATTTATGTGATTGCTAACATTTCACTAGCACCCCCCCCCCCGCCGCTTTTAATTGCCCTAAATTCTGAGCTCAAGGAAACTGCCAGAGTGCCATGAGAAATAAATTACAAATGAATTTGTATAACCAAGGTATCAACCTTTAGAGAAGGCTGCTTGCTACACCTCTAGTTTATTCTAGTCCTATACCCTTCTTAACTGGACTCATTTGGAGGATGGATGATTTTGTCTCATCTCTTTGTATTGGCTGCTATTAGATAATCCAGTCACTTCGGATGCAGAGATGTAGCCATTATCTGCCCTGAGAAGTGGCATCCCCAGAATAGGGGGGTCTGACAGGTAGTCTTTATGCTTTTGCAAATGTTCAAAAATTAAACTTTCTAAGATGTAAGAATGAAGTGTGCTTCGATTTTTTGTTCAATAAAGGACCCTTGACTTTTTGAATTTGGGGGGTTGCTGCTTTAACCATGATGTGGGATACAGAAATTTACCCAGTGAAGCATTTATTGGCAGAGGCAGTGCAAGACATTTTGGTGCCTGAAGTAAAACAATCTAAATGGTGAAACTTCATTGCACCCTGCCACATGGAGCGATGAACTAGCTAGTTTTTTCTGCACATACTCAATTAAAGTAAATACAGCAATCATTTCAATTAAGTTTGTATGGGATAACTTTCCAGTGAATGGGTCAGATGCGGGTTGTGTACACATTACTGGCTTAACACAGCTAGGTCATTCTTTTTCTCAATTTGGATCAAAGCTCACTGAGGGGAAGACACAGCAAAATGTAATATCCCATTAGAAACAGCTGGATAGATGTGGATTGTAGACAACATCCTGTGTACACAGCTTCCCAAACCAGTGGTGGGAACCAGTGTGTACCCAGCCTCAGTTAGATCTGGATTGTTTTTAATCCTAATCCTAGCATCTTGTTCAGACCTTAACTGAATTTGGGAGCAAACCCAGGCAAGAAGGGAAGGTGTCTGGACTCCCAGTTCCCAGTAGCAGCAAGGCACATAGCAAGAGGGTCGGCAGGCCCTGTTCCCATCCCTCTCTGTGCAGGTCCCTGCTAGGATGGATTACGGCATAAATTGCCATGGCCAATGGCATGTGCCATAAGCATGGAACACATTGAAATAGGCAAATTATTGGAGTCTTAAGGTGGCTATGCTGTGCTGTCCCACAGGTCAGGCATGGGTCCCACCCACACCAGCACACAGCAAGGAAGCATTTCCCTCCCACCAGAAATACAGCTTTGGCAATGGGAGCTAGTCTTACCTGCTACAACTAGTCACCAACCGACCCGGGAGTATTTATGATGTTGCTTGGGAAATAATTGAAAAGGCCTTTAGGTTAAGAATCGGGATATAGTGTGTTAGGAGCCAAGACTGATACTCCTGCTTCCTATTTCCATGGGAGGTAATTTGTGGGAATGTTCACCTCCTACTGTTTACAGCAGCATAGAATATTAGCACTAAGCAAAGAAGAGGGGGGCAGGGATTACGTGCGAGGCTGGGTTTCCCCGCGTATCAGTTTATTTGGACAGCAGTAGTACCCAATAGTGGGTACTATTTTTGACCCTCCCATTTTTGCACATGGGTTTTTTTTTTTTTAATTTCACTTCCAGACTACAAACCATATTATTTAGTAGGGAGCTAGGCTACTGACCTATGAACAAGTCCAACTGAGTTCAATAAGACTTACTTCTGAGTAGGCAGCATCAGGTTTGTGCTGTAAGTCCCTTTCAGCTTACCACACACTTAGGACTGCGTGTACAGTGGTACCTCGGGTTACAGACACTTCAGCTTACAGACTCCTCTAACCCAGAAATAGTACCTTGGGTTAAGAACTTTGCTTCAGGATGAGAACAGAAATCGCATCTGGCAGCAGGAGGCCCCATTAGCTAAAGTGGTGATTCAGGTTAAGTACAGTTTCAGGTTAAGAAGAGACCTCCAGAACGAACTAAGTTCTTAACCCGAGGTACCACTGTGATGGTCATAGTACTGTCTACTTGCTATCTTTTAAACCTTGCAGAAGTTTGTGTATTTATTGGACTTGGCTTGCAGGGCTTAAGGAGGGGTTAACTCTTCCCTCCACTAACTGTTTCCCCAGTGTAAATCCCCCTTAGCTGCTCTTTGCCTTGTTAGAGAGAGGGACTCTGGCTAGATGCACCTTTACACACTGAAGAGGAAAAATAGACCCAATGTATATATTTGGGAAGTGGCAGAAATCCCTTATTTTTTCAGGATTTATAAAACACACAACAAAAGTTAGTTAACATATATATATATATATATATTTATATATGGCAGTTTTCTTTATTGATTGCTTGATGTAAAACAATATCAATTGGCAACTGTTTTCACACGTTACAAAAAAATATTAAACTTGGCTCAGTCTGCAATCATTTAAGCACAGCCATATTAATTAACAAAACAAATCCCCCCAATAAAAACTAAAAAAACACACCCTATCAAATAGAGCATTTACAAATGCACAAGACACAGGCCGCTTTGGCTTTATGGGAAAATATCTTCTAGATTAAAAAAAAAATCTTTAACATAAATAAGTTAGTATAATTTCTCAGTGTCTTTACAAAGTTATGTACACAGGTACAATTCAAAACCTTATTTTTTAAACATACAGGCAATGTAAAAAATACTGTTTAAAGATGTAGTTTTCCTTTCATTTACCCAGCCATGAACATCAGGGACGTGAGTGAGATGAAGAAAGGTTGAAGTTCAGGGTTTTACTAATTTCCCTTCCATTCTATTCAGCTGATTTATTTATAAATTACTTTTGAAATCATTTATAGTAATATATTATAGGTGGCAAAAATAAAAAGAAATAGAATTGAACACTTAAAGGGTCCTGGAGCAGGAGCCTTTATGCTGCTACATAATGGAAACACAGTTCCTCCATAAAGTCTAGGGCACAATTCCATGGAACATTCTTCTGCACTTGCTGTGAGCTTGATGTCTTCCACAACTGCCATTCATTTTAGTGGGATTTAGCATAGGCAAACCTCCCACTGAAACATGCTCTGAATAAGTAGAAATTTCACCAGCAAATTCTATCAATCTGCTGTAGCCAGTGTTAACATTGATTTTTAGATTCCATTAATAGGGACAGTACATCTTTAAGAAATAAACACATATGCTGCTTCTCTTCATACAAATCTCTGCTTTCTGGATCTTGGAAGCAGATTTTTGAACCCATCACCTTTTACCACCCCACCCTTTCCCAGAACAAACTAACCCCAAAAGGGGGGGGGCGCAAGGAGAGGTTTATGTGCTACATAATGTAGGAACTATATACACAGGTAGTACAGTGAAGCAAATGAGGAAAAACTTAATTGCAGAATGCTACATCCGATGCTTTAAGAGGCAGCTCTTTTAAGAGTGCCCGACTTTAGTGTTATTAAATTATGGGTTTGTTTTGTTTCAGTGCGTGTACAAGTTCTCCACTGAGGAGAATCAGTGATATGTTTTCTTTCTTTTTTCATATACAAACTCTGCATCTTCCTTGCTTCATGAACTTGATGCCTTCAAAGAACAAGGAAATGAATGTTCTTAATTCTGAAATTAAAGAAGAGAGCGGGCATTAAGTCGGTGAAGACTACAATAGCTCATTTCATTATTAAGGGTACAAAAAGTCACAAATGGCTATCAAAACACACAGTTGGTCAACATTGTTGCTAGAGGTGGATCAAGGTTCTACTTTGCATGTGGGGCAGAAATCTGTGTACAACTAATCACTACTTGTTAAGTATAACTTGTCTCACCCAACCAACCAATTTTGTATGTGCTTTTTAATAGCCTATCCAATAGAACCATATTTGTTTGTCAGGTTAAACTCTGTTCTGTCAGATTCTGATAGAAGCCTCCAGATTCTTTTAAGCAAAACCCATCACATGCCTGATTTCATCCTAGCTCAGACCACAGCTAGTCACAGATAGAAACACACACACACACACACCAGTGATGCCCATCAAGATAGGTCCCTACCTTCAAGAAACCTGCAATCTGTATTTTGACAGAGGTGATGACAGCAGACAAGAACTAAGGGCGGGGAGACATGCACTGGCTCTGTCTGCCCCAGCCCTACTACCAATTCCACTCAAGGGAACAGTCTTTTTCAAATCAAAAGTTGGCACGGCTACCTGTAGGTACATCTAAATTGTTGTGAGGCACTGCTAATTTTGGCTGTTTTCTGGGGATGGGGAAGCACTGAAAACAAAATAATTGCAAACTCCCAATTTTTTTAATGCATTTTTTCTTTCAAATAACCAAATCAACAGAAACAATTGAATTTACACACTTGCCCCTGCTCACCCAAACAGAATGGATTTCTTTAAAAGTATCTGGTTACAAAGCTTAACCTTTCTACTCATTTGTAGGTCATGTTTGTCAACTTTCTTTACAATACTACTGCTCTAAAAACTCTACTCGGGGGCTGCATTTCCTATACTCTCGTCTCTTTAATTAAGAATTTTTATTCCCCAGGTAGCTTTGTGTCACTACTATTAAGACAAAGTCCTAAACTCATTTCACTATCAAGTTCTATTGAACTCAGTAGGGCTTACTTCTGAGTAAAGAGTGTTGGGCTGCAAGCTTTTTAAGGATGGTAGACAAAAGTTCACCACATCCAAAAGCCTAATTAGACTACATATTTGAGCTGAAGAAATACTTTATTTTAAAAGAAGGCAAAACCAGTATTTGCAGAGAATGGCCTTGCTTGAACATGTCCATTAATATTAAACCAGAACAACATTGTTCATTACAGTTAAGTGTAGAATAAGAATCAGTGGGGGGAAATTGAAATCTCTTTAGTACACTCATTAATTAATGTGGCTATCAGCTCAACAGTAAATACAAATGAAGCATGTGAAATTTACTCAGAAGTAAGTCCTACAGAGTTTAATGAAGCTCTGCTTCCCAGTAAAGCACGGATAGGATTACAAACCCTAATTGGAAATATGTTCCCCAGGTTTTGGTTACTTTCTAATTAAACTGTAACTCCCACTGAAATCAATGAGTAAAAGTGGTATGGATCAGGCTGCAGGTGTGTTTTTAAGATTACAAAAAAAAAAAAGACACACGAGTCCTGTTCTGATATTATCCCCTCAGCTTGACAAAATTGCACTAATTTGCAAAGATTTACCAATAAGCTCAATCCACGCACAGTACTGAGGTGCTCTCATAATGCATCCTTCATTTTCTGCCATCTGTAGAGATTTCACTAAATGCTATCAGGAAAGGAAACCCACCTAATAAACAATTTACGTTTGATGCCGTCTTGGGCTGGATTTCTTGGGTGTTTGTTCCACTGAGCAGGCACTGGAAGAGTCTTCTGAAATAGCCTCTTCTGTCATGTTGGCTCTTTTGTTTTGAGGAGAGGAATCTAGGAGGGGTGGAGGGGGGGAGAAGCTTAATGTTAAAAATATTTTTGCTGCCGGATCTTGTACTAAATATGAAGGAGGCAGTCGAATGAAGGGGGTGGGAGAAAACACATCACATAGGCCACTCCTTGAGTCATCTGCCATTTGCAGGAAAGATGGGGCAACAAAGTTGCATGCCTTGATTATATGGTCTCTTTCACTATCTGCTGCATCAGAAAGAATACCAAGTTTTGTAGAGTTGGGTTGGTGGCAGGGGGAGCCCAGGCCATTTGATTAGGGAATCTGATGCCCAGCGAACCTTTCACCTCCCTATGAGGGTAGACAACCATTTTCAAGTCACTTATTTTAGAGTAGTCCCACTGGCTTCAGTTGAACTGCTCCAGAAAAAATAGATGTGGCATTTGAAGCTCACTAGTAACCTTAATATCCCCAAGATTAAAACACCCCAGCCCCAAATATGTGGAAGTCACTATCATCGATTTCAGTGGGACCACCTAGCCTGCCTGACAGCTTGGGTTGTGGTTTCTAGGTCAACTTATGCTTTGGAGTTGCCCTGCTGCTTTATGGGAGACTTTCCCTACACAACTATCCTGAGGACTGCAACCTTTAAAAAGCACAGCTAACACAAGTGCCTCAAATAACTGGTAATGCAAAGTGCATTGCCCTAAGCTCCTTGGAGGAAGGGCAGGATACAACCGATCAAGAACAAGTAAGTAGGGTGCACTTCTTAATCAAATCCATTTGGAAGCAAAGAGATGTCCTTTCCCTCAGCTAACTGCTTGGCTTGGCTTTAAAAAGAAAACAAATCAACGGAGTCCCAGGAGTTAGCTTAATGAAGCCTCCATACTTCGAAGTACCGGTCGTTTAACTGCCAGGCGCTGGGAGCAAACAGAAAGATTTCCCAGCGGCACCTGGCCGGCGGCTGCTGCTAGATGGACCTTTGGTCGGATCCTGCAACGCAGGTCACGGGCAGCTCTCTCCTCCTCAATGCAACCCCGAGCTGGCCTGTTTGCGCGAAGGAGAGAGGAGCAAGTGGGTACTTTACCGTCCGCAGCAGGTCGCTTCCTTGGCCCGGGGCTCTGGCGCCCTAGATCCGTGGCAGCGCCCGCCGCTCCCGCCTCTTGCTCCGGCCGCCGCGCGGCGTCCTCCTCCTCCTCCTCGAGATTCCCTGAGCGCGCCGGAGCGCCGTCGCGGGGCCGCGGCCATCCAAGCCCCCCCGGCGCGGCTGGCTGCCGGCCTTGGCGCGGCCTCGGCTCAGCCGGGGGGGTCTGCTGTAGAAGTCGGGCAGGGCGTCCTTGGCCACGGCTTGCCACTCGTACCTGCCTTGCAGGGGCTGGCAGCGCCCGAAGTCGAAGTTCCACTTGCTGCGGCCGGCCTCCTCCAGCGCGCGGCTCTGCTTCTCCAGCTCGCGGGCCAGCTGCTCGTGGTCCACCGGGCCGAAGAGGCTCCGGCAAGCCGACGGCTTCGGGTAGTCCGCCTGCCGGGCTTCCATCCTCTCCAGCGTCGGGCTCCCATTCGAGAGGCGGACGTGGGACATCGCCCGGAGCTGTCCCCGCCGCCCGCGCCGTCCCGCGAGCGAGATCCGGCGGCCGATCCCGACGAGCCCCGCGCCCGGGCTCTTGCGCGAAGGGGGAGAGCGCAGCGGGCGGGTTTAAAACCGGAGCCCGACCGAGATGAAGACTTCAAAACAAAAACACATCGAAGAGCCCCCCCCCCCCGCGCAGCAGCAGCAGCAGCAGCCGAGCAGCCCTTGCATAAGCCAGAGGCGGGGAAAGGCGGAGAGGAGGGGCGCGGGGGGGGGGGCAAGCGGAATGTCTTATTGCGGACCAAGTGCACCAGCGGGGGGGGGGAGGAAGCAGATCGCGGAGGCGGAGGCGGGGGGGGGGGGAGCGGAGCAGCAGCAGCGCCCGGACCAGTAGCTGGGTGACGGGAGGCGAGGGCTGCCCGGGGATCCTGCGCTTTGGCCCAAAGCCTCGTCCCGATGTCAAGGCTTCGCTCTGGGCGGGTGTGTAAGGGGGGGGGGAGAGACGAGCCTTTTTTTCCAGCCAGTGGCCCAATATGGCGATTGAAGGGAGGCGGACGGAGGAGAAGCTGATTGACACGGCCCGTCTATTTAAACGGAGGCGCCGCGCCATTGGCTCGAGGCTCGGGCGCCGCCCCGTCGCCGCGCGGGGCTCCGGCCGAGCGAGCGCCGCTTTGTGAAGGGGGCCGGGACGGAGGCGGGCGCCTTGGTCGCGCCGGGCCCCTCGGGGGACTCCCAGCCGGAGGGGCCTCTCGTCCTTCCCGCCCCCGAGCGGATCCTTCGGGGGAAGCTTTTCTTCCCTTCGGCTGGTTCATGAAATTTATACACCGCTGGGCCGTAAAAGCACACGCAAGCAAACAAATCCCTCAAGGCGAGAAAACAATAAAATCGAGAGAAATTCACAGCTGTACTTGAAAACATACAAACGCCAGAATGCTGGAACAGATTGAGATTTGGCAAACAACAAATTAAAATACGTCTGTTGCAGCTCTTCGCCCTCCCTGTCTTGTGGGCAGCTGCTTCTTGGTGGTTTTCCGACTGCAATTTTCCCTCCCCCCCTAACAACTTAGAGCTGAATGGAATGGAAGGAACTTAAAATGGGGGGAAGGTGGAGACCTCCCTCTCCCCTCCCTCTTTTTATCATTGAGTCCATACAGCTGAAACGAGATTATTTTATTATTATTTATTAAGCTTCTATACCACCCTTCATCCAAAGATCACAGGGTCGTTACAGCAGGGGTAGGCAACCGGGGGGCCGGATGCGGCCCAATCACCTTCTCAATCCGGCCCACGGATGGTCCAAGAATCAGCGTGTTTTTACATGAGTAGAATGTGCCCTTTTATTTAAAATGCATCTCTGGGTTATTTGTGGAGCATAGGAATTCGTTCATTTCCCCCACCCCACCCCAAAAATACAGTACGGCCTACCACATGGTCTGAGGGATGGTGGACCGGCCCACGGCTGTAAAAGGTTGCTGGCCCCTGGTTTACAGCATAAAAATACAAAACAAAAAGACAAAATAGGTAATACAACAAAACCAAACAAATACACCAGTATGCGCACACACAAACACATTTTAAAGGCCCTAGGCTGTGTTATAGAGGAACATTTTCTCCTGGTGCCTAAATTACAGATTGGAACCAAAGAAATGGGGAAAACCTGGCTGGGGGGGGGCACAAGTGCCCCCCATGCCCAGACCCTCTTGCCTGAAGGGCCAGAGGCAGGGCAGAAGGCCGTTGTGTACCCTATTAACTATGCTGCCTGTTAGATATTAGGTTATTTATTTACTTGATTGAGGGGCAGCAGACCCCCTGCAACCCCTGGCTATGCCCATGACTGGATTCTCAATGCAGAGATAACTGCAGAAGAGGCTGCACATAGCAGCTCTGCATGAGTCACTGCTCTGCATCTTTCCTTCCAGTTGGAGGCACATTCAGAAGAGTGACCTGTGTAGACTCGAAAAGAAAAAACCAGGAGCTGAGTGACGTGTGCTTCCAGGTTTTATCCAGAAAGAAAGTGAGCATCAGCTACCAGAAATTTGGGGGGACATTGATCTACAAGATGGCATGATGACTGGCACCCAAAAGTACTCTTACTTAAGCTTGTTCTCCAGTTAGGATTGAGTATTGCTTCCGACTGTCTCTGCAAAATGCACACCTTGCCTAGGGAATGTGCCACTCTGTAGAAAGGTGAACTGATGTGCTTGATGGTTGATGTATGTGTATAATTACTTGTTATTTATTTGTGGTGACTAGTTAGAATTTTGGCACATAACATTTATTCCAATAATCTGTAACATTTCTGGAGGAAATTTGTGTTCTATCAAAGATTCCCCCCCCCCATGTGTATGCAAGGTAATCTAATGAATGTAAATTGCCACCTGACTAAGAATGTCCCTTGAAAAGCAGAATATAAATGTGTTAAATAAATAAATAAAACCTGCAAGAGTGTTGCTCCTTTCAGGTGAGGAGGAGAAAGGGAAAGCACCATTTGTGAAGAAAGGCAGTAGTTTCCCTAAGCAGTGGCTCATCCAAAGACAAAACAGGCAGACTCTTCTAAGTGCTAGTACAGTGGTACCTCGGGTTAAGAACTTACTTCATTCCAGAGGTCTGTTCTTAACCTGAAACTGTTCTTAACCTGATGCACCACTTTAGCTAATGGGGCCGCCCGCTGCTGCCACGCCACCACTGTGCGATTTCTGTTCTCATCCTGAAGCAAAGTTCTTAACCCGAGGTACTATTTCTGGGTTAGCAGAGTCTGTAACCCGAAGCGTCTGTAACCTGAAGTGTCTGTAACCCGAGATACCACTGTAATTCTGCTGTGTTTCTGCAATAGTAATTAGGAGGCAAGGCTGGAACAGTTGATCATTGCAGAGATTCAGCAGCCAACAAGGGATGGGTCCAAGTAGTTCCTATTACTATGAAGAAGGCAACTGCAGTTACCCCACCCTTAAAGGATTCTATCCAATCAAGGCAGAGGAGGGAGAAATTTTCCTGTTACAGTTTGACACTTCCTCTTCTTCTTCTTCTTCTTCTTCTTCTTCTTCTTCTTCTTCTTCTCCTTCCTGGCACAGTGAAATTATATATTTGTTCCCTTGTTGAAACCAGAGTTTAGTGAGTGGAGCAGAAAAGTTGGTCAGATGGAGCTGATCCAGAGGTTAATGATCACACACATTTGCACACAATCGTTTGCAGAAGGAAATATCAGTTTGTCACCCAAGTTTGCTATTGGTCGGAAAGCTTCGTTCACACATGGATTGCTCTACACTTGGGTTTGGTTCACACATGCATGCTCTATTCTTGTAGTATACAACATTAAGTATGTAGTCTTTTCTATGTGTGGACAGGCCATCATAAATATAAAAGCACTTGCACATTTCCCTTAAGACTACTACTTATACCTGCTTTTCAATGAAGTCGTTTAAAGCATTCAACAACCATCATTAAATGAGTTCTCAAATATAAAGAAATCATATGATGAACATATATGCATGAAAAGCCAGGCCTTGATTTTTGGCTGTGGAATATGCGAACCAACTCCATTAAAAGGCATTGCTGTGAACCGCCCTTTTTATGCTGTGAACCATCCTAAGATCTTTGGATTTCAGTACAGTATACAGTACAAATGTATTTAATTGATGATGATGATGATGATGATGATGATGTGAGAAGGAAAGGACATTCCATTTGTAGTGTTATATTTGTGATGGTGCCTTCACACACGTAAGTCATCATTCAGTGTTGTAAGTGTTGTAAGCCTGGAGTTGCAGCCAATCACGGCTTCCTGAGGAATATACTTCGTCTTTGCAAACATGTGCTTGTCTGTCAGCATATTGCACCACTGCTCAGAGACCTACACTGACTGGGGGGTTTGTTCCAGGCCGTATTCAAGAGTTACTATTGGTATGTGAAGCCCTTAATAGTTTGAGACCAGTTTATTTCAAAAACTACCTAACCACCCAACCACTTCAGTCTCAGGAACTGGCGCTTTCACAAGTACCACATCATGTTTGTTCCACAACAGCAATGAATTGATTCTTCATATCAGAGGCAAATTTAGGGTAGCATGATTGGCTCGCCTGCATTGGGCCCTGATCTGAGAGGACACTGCAGGGGGTGCCTCAAGAAGGACAAACAACAGAAGGCAAGAGGCAGGGGGCACCGAATTTTGGTGTTGCACAGGGTGCTGCTGAAATGTGAAAGTCCAAAGTCTGCAATTGTTCATATGTGACAGCAATAACGCTTTGGAACTCCCTGCCCATTGATATTCAGTAGTTGCCTTCACTGTACTGTTTCCAGCACCTGCTAAAAACTTATTTGTTTAAGCAAGTCAACCCAGACATGTAAATCTGATTTTTTTCAGTAATTTTAATGCATATTTTATGTAAGCCACTTAGAGGTTTTGATGATTAAGTGGTGTATAAATCCTGTGAAATATGTGTGTGTGTGGCAATCAGATGCCTTTGTTACCAGGCAATAATGAATAAGGTACTGGAGGGGCTGAGCACCAGGCATGATCATTTTTGTTTCATCTGCACAGGAAAGAGAGAGAAGAAAGGTGAAAAATGAGCTCTAAGGTGAAAAATGGGCTCCAATGCCTGCCATGGATGTTAACCATCCAAGGCTGTTTAAAATTTGTGGTTTTGTGTCATGAAGGCAGGTAAGATGGTCCATGAAATTAAAACCCACCATGAGATTTTAATTTAACACCCCCCCTCCTGTCTATGGAGCCAGCTTTAGCCAGTTTGCTCCTGCTCCAAGGGATGGGGTAAAAACTGACACCTTGTGTCTCTTTTGACAATTTTCTGTGCACAATGTGATATCCTTTGTTCAAGAAAGGCATAGAAGGAAAGTGTTAGTGGCTAGCATTTAATGCCTGTGCTTACATACCTGGCAGTCAGCCCCAATGATTTCAGCAGAGTCTAAAGTGAGCAGTGGAAGAGTTAAACTGGATCTATTACAAAGCTAGGGACTATCCTTAAAGTTTGTCATTCTGTGTAAATAAAAATGATCACTCCCTTGCCACTTATATCACTTTGCTCTGTTTTAACCTTTGATCATGCTGCGGTGCTCCTTTTGGAGGGTATGTAAGCAAACAGCTCTCTCGCGAGCCATGTCTGTGTTGGCTGAGGCTGATGGGAGCTGGGGCCCAACAACTTCCAGAGGGCCACCCTGAATTAGAGAAATGTTTAATAGCAGATTCCAGGGCAGAAGTAGAGTCTGGGTGCCTGAATACCAGCAGCTGGGCTTCAAACAAGTTGGAGAGCTGTTGCCTTCATACCAAGCTTGTGCACCTTGCAAAAGAACCTGACTGGTGGCCTGAGAAGCAAGTCCAAACCTTGACATTTCAAGTTCATTTTGAGCCCCAGCATGCTGCCTTTCCACTTCTAGCCTCACCTACTTGGCATTCTGTGACTCCAGTTGTGCCAAGGCCTCTACCCAAAGGTTCTGAGTCCTCAACTCCAAGTAGGGAGTGGTAGATCTGGCAGAATAAGGAGGTGTGGCATGTATTCATTTTGTAGGAGTTCTGGCCATGAACTGTAACAGCTCAGCTCAGAGCCAGCTGGACTGCAAAGATGGTGGTTTTGTCCTTGGCAAGGCTCCACCCTGATTAATTCCTGTTTCACCATTGAATTCAGAATTGTAAGTGACACAGCAG